TGCTTAAAGTCGGACTTTTTGTTATTTCTGTCTTTCTTCTGGCACGTTGAACCAAAGACTCCTTAAATGGCCTCTGGCCCTGGCTCTTTGGCACAACCAGTATGGCTTAATGAGGCAGAGCAACAGCGAGCAGCCTTACCTTAACAGAGAGTGGGACACCAGCCTGATGCCAGACAGGTTATCCAATCTCCCTTGCCTAAGTAATCTCACATGTTTTGGCTTTTGCATCTCCCAGCAGTTTTAGCAAGATTCATACTTGTTCTTCTCTTTCATCAAAAGCATGGTCCATCTGTAGTCTACACCAGGGGCTGTTCCTCGTGGCCCTAATACAACATGCAGGAAAAGATACAGCATGCAAGCAATGAGGGCAAGATTTAGCAGCACTCCCCCCACAGAGCACCTCTTGTGGAGACAGTGCTGGTAAAACTTTAGCTCTCATGGCCTGAAGGGACAAAGCAGTCGAAAGCAAGACAGTGCAGGACTCCCACCCAGGGGAAAAACTGCTGGGGTTTGCCAGGCTGGACTGCACAGCCCAAGCCCTTCCACATTCTCCACCTGCCTTCTCTGTTACAGATGAAGGTGGCTAAGGAGAGCACAGGGAGAAGGAAGAATACAGCTATGGCTGGTTTCAAGACCTGTATCTAAATATATTTCCACTGAGGAAAGAAATCAGCTCTTTACATAATTGGTTTATCTTGGCCTTGTGACAGAAACAGAAGCAGAGCAGTTATAAAAAGCATAAAGCTTTAAAACACCACATTTTCCTCATGTACAACGTAAGTCACAGAGGGACAAAATGCTCTGGAAGTTAAAGGTATCAGGAAATCGCATATGCCCATAGCAAGGGCAATGCATACAATGGGAAAGCAACTGAAAATCCAGTGTGATAACTTAATTATTGATGGAAAATTCAATTCTTTACACATAACGAAAGTTATGATCTTGGGAGCAAAGCCTGTTAGAAAAATAACAGACAGCCAGTCTTCTCTCCCTGAGCTGGACCAAAACACAAGCCAACTGGGGAGACATGGGTAGAAAAAGAGAGAGGGAAAACTGATGCATCGCTGCCTGCATCTTGCTGTGTGTTCATGGCTGAACACCCTTGCTAGGGCACTCAGAGCAAGGAGAGAGCCGCGGCAAAGACCCCACCAGAAAGGCGCCAAGATAGGTGTTACAGCTCAGTGTACCCATCTGTTGAGCTCTCAGTCACCTGAAGTTAGAGATGCAACAGTTGCTGATAACAACCCTGTGGCAAGAGAAAAATCATGCTCCAAAAGGACCAAGCTTTGATCCTGGATTGGGTGCTGACTTCTCAAGAACCAGGAGATGTAATCTCTCGGAAGTAACACGCTGCCTTTCCTATGACAGGCTACAAAGATTAGTGTACATAAAACCACTGTCTTCAAAGCACTATCTGAACAGTGAACATCATTGATTTCTGAGATCCTCCACTCATAGATAACCTGTTCAGCAGTGATCCCTCCAGCAATATCACTCACTGTCCTACCAAGGCACACGGCAGGCTGATGCCCTCGTTGCGCTGCAGCCAGAACAGTCAGCACACATGCAAAGACTGGCACAGGAGGAGAACAAGATACGGTATTTCTGTTAAGGAGACACCACAACATGCAACCTGGGCTCTGGGCACACAAACGGATATACAGCAGGGCAAGGCAGGGTGTGAATTCATAGTACATGATGAATAAATGTTAAGTGAGTGCCTGGGTATAGACACCAGCAGAAAACACAAGACAAGGCAATGTAGTTTACCTCTCTTGGACTGCATCCAAGAGCAGAGTCGCTAATGAGATGACTAATGGGATCTCACAATGACAAATGGGGGGAACACCACTCAGCCTAAGTATAGGACAGTACTAAGTGGTTTTATTTATTAAGGTATTGTTTTTATTTATTCTTAATACACAGCTGTACACAGAAGCTGCACACAAGAAGAGCAAACACAACAACACCTGCCTGCCAAAGCAAGGCCATACAGAAATAGGCCAGAACATAATTGCAGATCTTTAAAGAAGCAACAAAACTTGAGCTTTGCTTTGCAGCCAGAAAATAACAAAGGTACAGATGGATGAGAAGCAGCCACCTCAGGCACAGCAACTTAACCTGCACATTGCCATTTAGGAACTGAGGCACAAGTCACCAGTACCTTAACAAAAGGCGTGGAGATTGTCAGCAGTGGGACAGGGGCTTCACCAAACTCTAACACCACAGAAATTTTCAGGATGCTCCACTGTCTCCCTGAATCCTGTCAGATATTTGGGCTATTTCATTTTCTACCAAAAACTACACCAAACCAACAGACTCGCCAGGAGTGAGCATTTACTTTCTTGCACTCCTTTTACCCCTTCATTGGGGCCAAGGACACATTTTGGACAGTCATATCAGACCCGTGACACAGGCACCCCTCTCTCTCTGTGCTCCCTCACCACCACAGACAACACACAATTTGAAGCACCACAAAGGAAATTAGTAACTCTAACGGGTCTGCAGCAGCACTATCTTGTCCTCAGTAAGCCAGAGGTACATTTTGATACCATCAGATCACTGTTAAGAAAGTAAGCAAGCCGCCTTTGTTCCACACCTCTTACTTCAGAGGAGTAAGTCTCTCCTCATTGAAACTGTCTTGATTCCTTGATGCAGTGTAAGACATAAAAACCACAGACACCCTACTCTGGCAGATTTAAGACAAAACCTCCTGCAGCACATGGGACCATGCACATCAGCACACAGCGTTTCCTCTCCTCAGACCAGCCTGACACAACTGGTGATCAGAGAGCAGATGTCCTCCTCATCACCGGCAAGCGATGGGACCACGCTGGCAGTACCAGATGAGAACGAGCCTCAGCGTCCTGGGAATGGCTGTAATTTCAGGAACGCCAACAGTTATCCTCATAGGCACAGCTCACAAGTGAAGTCTCCCAATACACCTCCAGAGATCTTTTAATCAGAACCCCATTACTTCCCACAACACGTTTTATACTGCAACAGACAGCACAGCCCAAAGCAGGAACATGACTTGCATCTATGTAGGAACAGAAGATGGCATTCAGCAGAGCCTTCTGCCCCATGTGACATCCCTGACCTCAAGGCACTCTACCCTGCACGGAAGCAGAAACGTTACTCACAAATTTCTCCACAGCACCGATCTACTGTGGACACATGTGCAGAGGACAGAACAGCTCAAACAGTCTTCAGCTGATCTGCTAAACCTAGAATTGAGCCAGCACACAGGATGAAAACCCAGGGCAAAACTCACCGAAGCTGCAGAGGTGCCCGAATCTGGCATGATATATTTTGACTTGGGCTCTTGACAGAGTTACAACAGCTGTTGAATATCTAACAGCACCTTGCTCAAAAGCAGCAGTGCCTCTGAATAAGAGCAATGCTGCTGGAGAGAGAAACAGCTCTCACAGGCCCAGCTCTGCAGCCAGGTAAACACATGCAGCTGACACTGCCTTCAGGGAGAGAAACAGTGGCCTCATACTCCAGGCATGGCAACATTGATCTTTAAGAGCCACGCAGCACGCACTGAGTCAGTCTCTCACTTGCACACCAAACAATTCCCCCTGCTTCAAGGAGCTGATCTACAGCTTTTCAAGAAATTACACTAAATCCTATTGTCAAAACTCTCCTAGGATGGCTTCCACCCAAACTGTGGAGCGCTGCAGCTCCTCACTTCCTACCAACACAAAAAAGTCTCTCTAGACCAAAATGCTTGCCATGTTTGGAACCAAAACTTAAAACAGATTTCAGTTTTCCTAGTTTCTGGGATGCCCCTACAACCTGTCTGCAGCGCTGCCTTGTGAATCTCATCAGTTTTACTGAAATCCGTATTCACGTTTTTATTGTAACGGCAAGCCACTTTTGTCCTTGACAAACATAAATCCTCAAGCCACGGCTGCTACCTTTAATAGAAGCAATAAATCTGGATTTGGCACACTGAAACATCTTGCTGTCAGATACTCGATAATGTAAGCACAAAGAATATTCTCACTCCAAGTGACCCATTTTTGCTGCTTAGTTTTTGGAACTCTCATTGCTCAATCGTGCTGCCATTTCAATACATGCCAGAGCTCACACATTTTGCTGCTGGTAGTATCTGAGCTTGGGCTGAAATAAACAGAACCAGCAGAGTCTGAATGCTCCAGACACAGCCGAGTGCACGTCCCAAACACTTCATCTGCGTTTGTCCCAAATCATCTGCACTGCACTTCCACAGGAGAGCACAAGCATGATGTTATACTGCAGAAAAGCGCTTAACAGCATGGCTTATTTCTTCCCGTGGAAACAGCTGTATAGGTACAAAGCACCTTTTCACTGCTACAGCTGCACCTCAGCCAGGGCGTGAGCTAGCACAGCTATTTCAGCTCACCCAAGTCCCAGAACTAAAAGAAACAGACCTAGAAAAAATAATTATAGGATGTAAGAACCCCAGGCCTTAAATCAAAACACATTTGCTCGTGCAGGATATGACTCCCAGCCAAATTTTCACAGCACTCCTAACTACAGCGTCCCACCACAGCCCGCACCGATGAAAGCAGAGGCTTCCGCTCCCCCAAACCTCCCTAAACTCTACTCCGGGAACGAAAACCAGCTCCAGGGCGCTCACCAGGGCCGACTCCAGCTCACCTCTAGCCGGGCTGCGGCGGGGTCACGCTCCCTCGCCCGGCCCGGGGGCGGCAGCCCAGAGGGAAGGCAGCCGGGCTCCTCCGCCCAAGCCAGGCCAGGGCCGCGGTCCAGCGGCTCCAGGGGGCCCCGTTGGGCCGGGGTTAGGCGGCAGAGACCCCCTGCGGGGACGGCAGCAGGCGGCGGGGACCCCCTGCGGGGACGGGAGCCGTCTAGCCCTGGGGACACCCGGCCAGGCGACGGCCCCGGGCTCGGCGCCCGCACGGCGGCGGGACGGGACGGGGCAGCCGCGCTGGGCTACGCCGGCTTCGTTCTGAGCCTTGGGAGCCCCCCGCAGGAGCCAGGCTCCCCCTTACCTGCGCCCGAAGCCGCGCCGGGCACTCCCAGGCCGGCCGCACCTCTGTCTGCCGCCTGCTCCGGGCTGCCCCGCCTGGCACACGGCGGCCAGGACCCAGCGGGGCCGCGCCGCGCCGGGCCCTCGCCTCGCTCCCCGCCCCGGGGCTGGGCCTCCCCGACGGGGCGGGCGGCAGCGCCGGGCCGGGCTGGGGCCCTGATTGGGCCCCACCGCAGTCACTCGGCCGGCGGGGAAGGAGGGAGCGGCGCTGACCGCCCCCACCGCCGCCCCTCAGCCACAGCCCCTAGGTACTGGGAGACTCTCTCCGGCTTCCTCCCGCCGCCTTCGCGCTTCGGCTGCCGGCTCTTGCTCTCTACCGCCGGGCTGACATATTCTCCCGCATCCCTCGGACGGCTCCCGGGGAGCCCCAAGGGTGTCGGTCGTGACACCCAGCTCCATTGGCCAGAGAGAAGACACCGGCCCTACGCGCCTGGCGGCCAGGTCAACCCGCAGAGCACGGGTTCGGGATTCACGACGCCAGATTTCTTTATTCCCGGAGCTCTTCCTCCCGTCCCCTCCTCCACCGGACGGGTTAGACAAAGCGCTTAACTTAATCGTTTTGGATGTGGAAAAGTGTTTTGGTTGTGCATCATTTCTGACTGTAGCTGCTAAAGAAAATGTGAAATTTTCTATTCAGAACCACATGGAAAGTAAACATTTTGAGTTCTACCCGATTTGGAGCATGACATTCACTGTTCAAGCACAGTTTACAGAGAGGAAAAACTGATGCAAAACACCTTTTTTTTTCTGGCAGGTTACCAGTCTGTGGAGTTGGCCACAAAGCTGGAGTACATCACAGATTCAAGAGGGGTCAAGTCTTAGGCTGCAAGAAAAGAAGAAAAAGCAGCCACACAGTTACTAATCCCTGGTCTTCCTTTGTATCTGTTAGTTCTTCCATCTCAAAACTTCGGTGGCTAACTACAGTTTTTGACATTGCTGTATCACATTCTACAGCTGGTCTTTTTGCCCATTTTCTCAAACCTTCATTGAAACCATCAGTGTTACTGTTTTGCTCTGCACCTTGCTGTTGGCTACATACTTGTGCCGGACTCCTGGGTCCAGCTCTCCATGTTTTGTCCCTCTGAAGATGGCTGGTGTTCACTTGCACCATAGCAAGCTGTTGAAACAACTGTTGATCTCCATGCTTGTCAGTCAGTCTTCTGGGTCAACTATTCATTTCTGGTAACTCCTCTTTTTTTTTTTTTTTTTTTTTTTTCTTTCTCTCTTTTTTTTTTTTTAACACTTTAATTCAGAAAGTGAGGGTTCTTACTAAAGTAATTCAGAAGAGCTTCATTAGGATGGCATACAAGTGAGATTCATCTGAAAGCAAATCTGAGCTGACAGAATGTTTCAAACAACTGTTTGCATCAAAGAAAGTATCTTTGCAGGTTAAGACACATCTCTGATAAGACTTTCTAGCATGCTTATCTCTCATCTCCCAAAATAGTTTAGCCTTTTTTGCTTGAGGCTGGTTTGCAAGAAAAGGTTGATTTTCTCTACCTTTGTGAAAATGTGGTATCTGAGAATACAAGCATCTCAGAAGTCCCTCCTGTGAAGGCTGTGGGAGGTCATGACAAATCAGTGTTTTCTAACATTTTTCATTGCTTGAGCAGGTAAAGGGAAAGATCTTTTCCCTCACTTACTGTGGTTGCAAATCAATAAATAGTGTTAAGCCCAGTATTTCAAAAGCTGCAGAGGCATTTTGAAGGTACAACAGATACTGACTTACACTGCCTTTTGAATGCAGTGCTATGAGTCTTATGCATTGACAGCATTGTAGAGCGAGGGACATGGGTTCACATGTAAGCTGCTCCAGCACTGCCTGACCATCCAACTGGGCATCACTCTGTCCCCTCATCAGGTTGCCAGTCTCACAGGAACCACCCAGTTGGGTTGGGTTGCTCTGAATGAGTGAAAAAATTACTTTTTCAGTTGGATCAGGCCCCCAACATCCCTGCTGCAAAGCAGGCATTTGGAGTGTAGGGGCAGGGGCACAAGCAGGACCGTACCATCCACCAGCAGCAACTGCAAAAGCAGATTAAACCCATTGCAAAACAGCCATTAATGGCACTCTTATTAAATCTGTGGCGTATCTACTCTGTGTTTCTGCTTCAACTTTCCTCCTGAATGATAAACATTTTTGTTGTTTTTTAAAAATTTTTAAAATTTTAAAGTTTAAATTTTTAAAATTTAAAGTTTTTAATGTGGTTATCCTTGCAACACTCACAGGCATCACTATCTCATTTTACAGTTTAAGTGACTCATGCTGGTTAATTGTGAGTGTTGATGACTTCTAGTGATCCACGTTTCAGTTTTGCTCTCACCTGGAAGTCTTCAGCAGCACAATAGTCATTAGCCCCATATCTCCATATCAGTGCTTCCTCATGGGCAGAGCTCCTAAATACAACAACAGTCCATGTACACTGTAGCCAATTCTATTTCATTTTATTTAAAAATTCAGCAGCTTTCCGGGGCCCAGAAGTCTTACGTTTAGACCTAAACCACTTCCTAAAACACAACAGCTAGAAGAGCTGAGGGATCTTCTTCCACATGGGTGATGATTTCACACCTAGGCTATGCATGTGCTTTCATTTCAGGAGAGCTTAAAAAGCAGTTTCGGTGAGTCGCTCCCTCTGTTCACAGATGAGTGTTAACCCTGAAGCTGAGCCAGGGTGGGCTCGGGTCAGGTCTCTGCTTCTACATGGCCATGTCAGCCGGAGCTGTGATGGGATCAGGCCCATCAGTGGCAGAGCGGTGCCAGCAACAGCACCTTGTGCAGACGTGAGGATAAGCAGGGAGAACCGTCAAGGTAGCTTATTTCACTCAAGAAAGCTGGAAATTGCCCACTCAGCAAAAACTGTTTTACTGTTAGAATCTGCATCTATGTTGGGAATGTTTGCTTTCTGACCAGCTATCGTAGCTCTGCTGTCAGAGCTGTCCTGGCTTTCAGTTACCTTTAGTATCCTGGCTATTAAACACTTAACTATCACAGAGCTAATTGTCTGAGCCAAAACCTCAAGCTTATGTATGATATTATGTTCAGTCCTGGGACAAAGCAGTGTACAAACAGTTTCTAGCTGTCAAATCAATAATTTAACTTTCCTCCTTATGTTTAAATTCCTGTATAAACCCTTCCTAAAAAGGAGAGGAGGAGAGAAGGTTCAGTGCCAATAGCATTGACTTACTCCACAGCAGCCCTGGTACAAAATGCCCCCAGAACTGTACCCCCCTAAAACTATCAGACTTCTGACATTGGCTGTCCCATTGCTGCCTCTGCCTGCAGCTAGGCTTTTGAAAACGCTGTAAGAAAAGCCTCGCACACTGAACAGACTGCTGAACTCACAGAAGGGATGCTGCCTTGGCTCTGCTGGGCTGGCCAGAAAGACATGAAGACACGAATAAAGACATTTTTGTAGTTTAAATCTCCCAGAAGGAAGACCACTTAAGAAATGACCGATCTGCTCCTGTGTATGGGATTGTTTCAGTCATGGAATTGTGGCCATCACCAGACCACCAGACTATTGAGATAACTAGCTTTGCATATTTTACCTGGGAAGCTTGTACAGTTAGCCCCTGAAGTATTAGCAGGAAAAAGCAAAGTCTTTTTTTTTTTTTTTTTTTTTCAACTGGGCACGAAAGCTTTCCATAAAACTTTACACATCTATGTGGGTGCAAAAGTAATTGGCTGCAGGAAAACTTCTTCAGCCTGAACACTGAGGAGAACATAAGAGAAGTGTCAGGCCATGTCTGAGAATTACAAAAAATAATAATGGGGAGAAGATGGTCATTCTATGTAGAACATGAGCAAGAGACAACCTCAGATGGTGGTTCAGATGGGCTTTGTCTTTCTGTTATTTTGGATGATAGCAATCATTAAAAACAGAAAAGGAAAAACCGCAGTTCTAAAGTACGTTTTATGTTCTTTAATTTCTGCTGGCCTACAAAACATTTTTTCTTTCCATGGAGGTCTCCTGCTGGCTCATGTAGCTATAGATGTAGCTTTACTGGGCTCAAGTACTCTTTGGGTTGATGCCCATGCAATTCTTGTAGCAATTCTCTCTTTCTGTATCAGAAGATAATTACTTACATTCAGTAACTGATTTCCAATATACCCAGTAAACATACTCACTCAATCAAGAAAAGTCAGAAGAACACTCCAAATAGTCAGAAGAACACTCCAAAGAACATATCCCTTTGGGTATTTGGAGTTTTTATCTTCAGACACAGGAAAAAACATTCCATAACAAAGTGGTGTGACAGTAGTCAAGAAAAACATAGAGGTAGCAGTGCTAACTTTTACTGGTAGACCTATTGGTGGAATGTGCCAAATAAACACCCCTCCACTTTAATACTACACACACACACACACACACACAGTTTGCACGATGCAACAACACCAGCAAGGCGAACACCTGAGTCCCTAAGTACTACACAATGTTATCAGGGAAAAGCAGGCATGGTGGACCCAGAAGGACACAATGAACAGCACTCTTTTCTCCCAGTGCCTACTGAAAGCCCTCCAAGAGATTCAACTTGTAACATTTGCCTAATCTGAGGAAGGCTTTTCTTCTAGGCAAGGGCAAGTCCATTCGTTGTACACTGTTGTTCACATCTGACCGCACCACTGCCCTTCAGCTATGCCTGGCTGGGGGTGACATCCTACACTTAAGCTTCTGTGCCCTGACCTTTAGGATAATTTTCACTATTCATTTCCTACTAATTCTGAACTCGTGATTATCCATTTTGCCTAGCACTGTTTGCATACAGATATTATTACCCATTAGTTCCTTTCATAATTACCTCCTCATTCCCATTCCCCAGGGAAATGCATGAATACAGCCACCTTATTTTTTTTTCTAAGTTTCCCAGGTACTCATCAAACACATCCTTTGGTCCAGTTTGTTCTCAGCATCAGCTTCTATATCACACCACTGGTGCTCCTGCATGTAGTCTTTTCATAGTTCTGCTAAAATCAGGCTTATAGCTATACCCCAAATCCTTTTAGCTGGGCTCTTCAGCAGATAAAGCACTAGTACAGCAAAAAAGTGTTTTTTAAGAGAATCTGAAAATACTCATCTTACCATACAGAAGTTATTCTCTCTGTACCACCAAGGAAGAAAACGAGGGATAAACGGGTGCAGGATATATCCAGGTTTGCAGTATAACACCATACAGAGACCTTTAAGCATGGTGGTATGTAGGCACAACATGGAGGAGCCGAGTTGTGCTCACAACTGTCCAGTCCCTGGGCTTACTCACCCTGTTAACAGCTGGCAAAGGCAGCCAGTGTGCAGGGCCTGACCCAGCTCTGGAGTCACAGATATCTCTGCCTGGCACGCTGTAGACATAACTGTAGTGACTTGCTCAAGATCTCACAGTGACTCAGTGTCAAAGCCAGCCCGATCAGCTGGCCTCTAGGCTCCTGCTTTAACCACAGGGCTGACCTTCAAAAGAGGAAAACAAGGCAGGTTCAGATATTCCTTACATACTAGGGCCACAAGGGCCTCGGGGGAAGGCAACGGTATCCTGCCTCAATGAGAACAGGAACTGCGTTTGCTTCCCATTTCTAAGAGTCTGAGGTGCATGAACCGTGCTTGTTCCTGGACTGACTTCTCTGGCAAAACGTATTTTGTTGGTGACTCACAAGCGTGGGAAACTGCAACAGGCTGTGAGGCTGATTCACCATCAACACACAGGGTGGGAAGGGATGCTTGCAGGTATCAAGCAGCACACAAGTTAATCACACAAAGTTACTAAAACCTTCTGGTCTAGAGAAATGGGAGGTGGTAAGGAAAGTCTTATGAGCTAACTAGGATTGTAACCAAGATGTCTTACTGCATCAGTCAAAGTGATGCTTGCCTTGCTCTGAGCAAAGTGACAGACAACCATAACAGGGATTATTTTATTCTGAAAGAAAGAAAAGAGAAACATGGAAAACACAGCTCAGGAGGAGCACAAGAAGGTGGTGATAATCAGTTCAGCTACTCTCTTTTTTAGTCTCTCTCTCTCTCTTTCCAGAGAATTTGCACCTTAGGAAGTGGGAGAATAAAGCTTGCGTTTGTGAAGGATTCCTATTTTTTTATGTTAGAAAAAAAAAAAAAAACAAACATCAAAATGATCTTTATTCTCCACATCACTTGTGAGTCCTGTCTTTTTGTATTAAAGGTAAGGAACAGAAGAGACAAAGGGATTTTGTTTAAGTGGGAAGTAAGTCATATCTGAGTTAATATGGTTGATATGAAGAGCTTATAACTAGGACTTCACCTAGCCCATTACATTATTTACCTAAAATAAACCACGTGAGTACCATTCACAAGACAACGGGGGGAATTAAAACCAGACTTCTTCTTTCTTGACAAAGGGTGTGCATGATGAACACAACTTCAATTATCTGCTGGTTAACAGGAGAAGTAGTTGTTTTTTCTGATTACAAAAGTATCTGGATATCTTACTAAAGTTGCTGTACAGACAATTTAAATCTAGATGTCAAAATGCTTTTTCAGACTGCATTTATTCAACAATGTCTCCATTAAAGCTGGTTAGATGTTTTAGCTTCCATCCCAGACAAAGCATTGGTTTTGACATTTAGAGAAACAGAGCAACGTCGTTCGGATAATGAGATGAATATTGAGGATTTTCATGAAATTAAATATTCCAAGATCAGGAGCCAAATAAATTAATGTTAAAATTAGAATATAAACATGGAGTTATTTCATGGGAATATGCAAATGTGTGTTCACCTTTCAGTCCGGTGAAAGCAGTGCTGAATGACGGGAAGAAAAGTCTGTGCTAGTATGAGGGCATATTGGCAAGCAAAACAGCTCAGAAGCACTATCAGGCCATGGGGTCACTCCTTCTTCTTGAGGTGGATCTTCATGCCTTTTTGGTCTGCTTCTGCCATTGCAGATCCTTCACCACAACAGATGGACAGAGAATGGGAGTTGCAGAATTGAGCCAGTTGGTGAATGATGAAAGGCTAAATATGTGGAAAAGAAAATGTAAGGGAAAGAAAATGGGTGAGCACAGCAAAACAAAATAAGGCTGGATAAGCCAATGTGTGTCTCAGACAAGATTAATATACTCACAGTCTAATCTTT